AGGGTGACAGCTACAATAAATCAACGCCTACGGAGTAGATCGGAGGCAGTCTGAAAGGAAGAGCCTGAGGGGGGAGAGAAGGGGGGGGGGAAGGTTGAGGGGGAGAGAGGGAGAGAGAGATAGAGAGAAAGAGAGAAGAGAGATAAGAGAGAAAGAGAGAGATAAGAGAGAGAGAGAGAGAGAGAGAGAGAGAGAGAGAGAGAGAGAGAGAGAGAGAGAGAGAGAGAGAGAGAGAGAGAGAGAGAGAGAGAGAGAGAGAGAGAGAGAGGGAGAGAGACGCATTTCTGCGCTGTTATGAGCAGTGAAGTGGCCGTGTGTGTGAGCGCTCAATTCCCTTAAGCCTCCCAGCAGGTGCGCCTTCCTTGCAGGTCGTATCCAGCGTATCCAGCGCGCGATGAATCCAGCGCCCGCGGTCGTCCCCGTCGCCCTCCGGCTTCCCACGATTATGCAACAGCGACCTCACCCTCGGGATGAAGGGGCGGAGAGAGGGAACGCGAGGACCCGAGCAATTAAATGAACATCAAAGGTAAGTCGAGTTAATGAATTAGGCGGAGGCAAAGAGGTGGTGCCTGGCTTCTGTCGGGGCCGCTCCGGCGTTCCTGTTGGCACTCCCTTTCTTACTCTGCTGGCACGCCTTCCGCCCCTAATCGTTATCAGATATCAGCCTGCCAATTTTTGGGAAGAAACATTATTAGGTGGTGGGGAAGGGCAGCATATCATGCGCTCTCTGTACTGCACTAAGATCGAGCATTAAATCCGGTATTAAATTTAATTTTGACCATACGTGAAAGATCAAAGAATACAGCGTACGGGGGAAACGGCGTGCTTGTCTGGGACTACGACGAAAGCAAGCACAAAGGAGAGGAAGTGGTCGTCCGCTACCGACTCTCGCTGCTTCTGCCAGCGTGTCTGGTCAACCGCTTCGCGTGGCCGGAGATCCGTTCTTCGGCGAGCGACCATTCGTCTTCCGAAGGTCTCTGGCGGATGAACTACCTTGGCCACAGAAGGGGCGGGTCGATAAAATAATTGAAAAGTTCTTTCGTTTCCTTTTTAAAATAGTAACAGTGAGTTTAAAATTTAAAATCCTTAATCACAAGAGTGATTGAATTGACATCACTTTCTCTCTCAACAATGAAAGGAGATCAATAAGAAAAGAAAAAATGTGAAGATAAAGACAAGCCATGAATAATTATAAGCGAAACAGTAATAAATGCACAACGCAGAGGCAAGGCAACACGTCTCTAACTGACAGGTCTGGAGAGGCAGCGAGGGGAAGGTAGAGAGGCAGTTGATGAGCTCTGTCAATTACCTATGGATTAGACCGTGATGATGAGCGGAGTGACAGAACAAGTGGCGATGCAAGGGGGGGGGGGACGAACCCGTGTCAACCTCTCTCTCTCTCTCTCTCTCTCTCTCTCTCTCTCTCTCTCTCTCTCTCTCTCTCTCTCTCTCTCTCTCTCTCTCTCTCTCTCTCTCTCTCTCGCTCTTGCTCTCTTTCTCACAAACACAATCACACACATGCACACTCTTTTCTGCGACAGTTCGTCTGTCTACCTGTCTTTCCTCAACATGAAACACACGGCGAACAAATACTCACGTCAACACACACACACTCTAATAACGCCTAAATCAAGGTATGTTGACAAATGTGGAAAAGGTAAGAATGAGAATGAATATCTTGAAGGTATCATCGCCCTCGCCGAACTTTCGCTGTTTAACCAGTCGTAAATCCTTCTTGAGTCTCCCCTTCGAGATCGTCCAGTCGTGATTTGAGAACAGTATTAATACATCCCTCGTTTAAGCCTCATTTTCCGCGTCCTTCAAGCCTTTAATAGAAGTGAAAAACCTTTGGCACTCCCAAGGAAATATATATATAAAAAGGTGATTTTTCACATTAGAAAGCGACAGTCAACAAACCGCTTAACACGGACCAATAAGCTGTTTGTCTTCGGAGCTGCACGTACAAACCATCTATTTTAAGACCACTAAAGCTGTCGGGCGAAGTATAACTGTCGCGGTCAGAATAAACCTCCCATAGCTCGTGTGGAGCAACTGGCCTCCGCTGCTGTAAGACGACGCCCAAAGATGTACGGTCGCGTCCACCTGGAGCGCCTCTCGCGCTCTCTCACCGCCCCCTTCCCTCCCGCTGCCTCACAAGCCCTTCCTTTGTCCCTCCTCCCATAGAACACAACATAACGTTCATCTTTCGGAGTGAGAGATTAAAAATCATATATATGGAGAGGGCCGGACATGGGTGGAGTTTCTCCATTTCAATTCGTATGCATTATGTATCACCTACATTTTTTTTTTTTTCATTTTTCTCCATCGTACTCCAACTTGGAGAAGAAAAAAAAACATTCCAAGAAGTTACATATTTCACGATTCACATTAAGGCTGTCACTCCTGTGTCTGTCCTGCGCTGGTAGCCTGAGGTCGTGAGAACCACCTCGTGAATGTCGAGAGGAGCCCCGTGCCCCTTACATTCCTCGGCCTCCTGCTAGGCTCGGGGCCGCCCTGTCCACCCACGCTCAGCATTCCAGAGATTCGCGTGCGGTTGTCTCGTCACACACGATATAAATAATTACCCTCATGGTGCTAATGAAAGTAAAGATATGCACTAATTTTATGCTAATGTTAAGATACGCATACAGAAAAAAACGTTATTTTAGATAAACGCGCCCAAAATGAACATGTACTCAAGGAATTACGGAAGAAAAAAAAACAAAAATGTTTTTAGTACTCTAATCGAGTGCTACTGAAAAATGTAAAAAAAAAAAAATAGTCCTTCGCGTTTTGATACTTTTAAATTACGATTACGCTGTCGCAAGGAACACTAATTCGCGGTTGACATGAAGGTCCGTAACCTGCCCCCTTTCCCTCCATCGAGAAGCGCTCTCCAATCCATCGTCATCTTTCAACAGCCCTCGAAAGAGCAGATAGACTCCCAACACCATGGGTTCACACTCCCAACGACGGAGTGTGGGGAGCAGCACCTTCGATCGCCCCTTGGAACTGTTTATTTTGCAAAAAGGGGAAAGAGGGAAGGCCGAAGAGAGTGGAGCGAAGGGAAAAAGGGATTCAATGGGTGGATGGGACAGGAAGAAGAGAATAATGGAGAGGGAGAGGGATAAATGGAGAGGAGGAGAGAGAAAGAGGGAGAGAGAGAGAGACAGGAGAGAGGAAGAGGAAGAGGAAGAGAGAGGGAAAGAGAGGGAAAGAGAGGGGAAAGAAGAAGAGGGAGAGAGAGATGGTAGAGAGGAAGAAGGGGAGAGAGAGAAACGGTGAGTGAAGAGGAGAGAAAGGGAGAAAGAAAGGAAGGGAGGGAGGGAGGAAAGGAGGAAGGGAGGAAAGGAAGGAGGAAAGGAAGGAGGGAGGAAGGGGAGAGGTAGAAGGAGAGGGAGAGGGAGAGGGAGAGGGAGAGGGAGAGGGAGAGGGAGAGGGAGAGATAGAGATAGAACTTGAGATATCTATGTATATGTATATATATATAATATATATATATATATATATATATATATATATATATATATATATATATATATATATATATATATATATATATATATATATATATATATATATATATATATATATATATATATATATATATATAAGAGAGAGAGAGAGAGAGAGAGAGAGAGAGAGAGAGAGAGAGAGAGAGAGAGAGAGAGAGAGAGAGAGAGAGAGAGAGAGAGAGAGAGAGAGAGAGAGAGAGAGAGAGAGGGGGGGGGGGGTGGAAAGTGTGCGTGTTAACGTGTGGGTGTAGCCTACGATAAGGAAGGAAGGGGGAGGGGAGAAAACGAGGGAGAGGAAAAGAAAGAGATAGAGAGTTGAAGAAAAAAAAAGAAAGACCGGGGAATATAGTGAGGTTTATAGACAGAGAGAGGGAGAGAAGCAGAGGAGAAGGGGGAAAGGGGAGGGAGAGGGGGAAAGTAAGTAAGAAAGAGAGAGAGAGAGAGAGAGAAGAGAGAGAGAGAGAGAGAGAGAGAGAGAGAGAGAGAGAGAGAGAGAGAGAGAGAGAGAGAGAGAGAGAGAGAGAGAGAGAGAGAGAGAGAGGAGGGAGAGAAAGAAGACAAAGAATATGAAAAGTGAAAAAGAGAGAAAGAGCAGGCAAGGGAGTTCTTTCGCAGGCGACGGTGAAAAGATAAACTGCAGCCCCGTCCTCTTCCGTACTCAACAATGTCTCCGACGTTCGTAACTTTAGCCTTTAATTAGTCATCCGCTTTCCTCATCCTTTTTCTTCTTCTCCTTCTCCTACTTCTGATTTAAGGTTCCCTCGCTTCCTCATGAATATTCTGATATTCAATGCAAATCATTCTCGCACGACGAGGTCGCCTAATGAACACGGTCTCGGACGAACTTTAGAACAAGGAAAGGAAAGACAATCGCAGTTTCTCTTGAATGGAAGCCCCCGTGTTTACTTTTAGTGTGGTTTGTTTGTTTAGTCTGTTTCCTTATTAACTACGAGGCTTATGCCTGTGGAAAAATCCTCTGTGTAAAATCCTAAACAATGAAGAACTGAGGGATTCTCCGAAATGTTGTAAGCTCACGTGTCTGGAGGGAAATTCGTTTTTTCTTTCTACGTGGGGATAGCAGGAAGGTGTTCAATCTGGCCCTTAAGAGACTGTAGTGGCCTCCTGCCTGTCATAAATCAGCAGTGAACCTGGTCAGCAGGTCCGCGCGCGCCCCACCCACCTTGATGGTTCACAGGGGACCACTCCAAGGAGAGAGAGGGAAGAGCCAGAGATCCAACACTGCTTCCTCAGGCAACCTCTGGTCATGGCCCTCCCCTCCTCCTCTCCTTCTCCCCCCCCTCCCCTTTCTTCTTTTTTTCTCCTTTTCCTCTCCCTCCTCCCCTCGTCCCCTATCCTCCCATCTACTAGTACCCCGCCCAACGCCGACTCTTTTCTTATTAATTAGCAAGTGCAAGAGCATACTGAATATTAAGTAAGCACTGCGCCTTGAGCCAGCCCAGGCAGCGAGTACGAGTACACACTCACCTGGGTTTCCTCTGGGGGAGCGCACCCTGGGCGTCCTCTTCCAAGACGGGTAAGCAGGAACCGTGGGCTGCTTCTTTTGGGATTTCTTCCTGCGGACGCGGCGTGTCGCCCTCGGGGCGCCACTGCTGCCACGGCTCGACACCAGGGACTCGACCAGGGACTCCGCGCTGCCCTCCAGCGATCCCTGACCTGATCTGTTTTTGCTCTTGACCAAGTCTTGCAGTAAGAACTGCGTGATGATGCGTTCGTTCGTGGCTTCGAGAGGCCGCTGTTCTTGCTCATTTTCTTGTTTGTTCTTGCCAAGCTTTGCTAGTGCACTGAGGGCTTTCAAAACGAGCTCGGGGTTCTTGGCTAATCTCAAGTTTATTCTTGCAGTGCTTGGTTCCGATTTCGGTTTCTTGGAGGGTGTCAAGTTAAACTTGGCAATACCTGGCTCGCTGGTGGTATCCTTGACACCTAATTCGTCCTCTTGTTCGTCCTCCTCTAACATGGACCGTACAAACTGTGCAGCCTTTTGACTCCTGCCGTCAATCATATGTGATCCGACAGGCTGGTTGAGGGGCATGAGCAGATGGGCATGGGCAGTGCGGATTTCAGGAACATCAAAACGCCGTAGGAGAGTTTGTGGAATTTTGACAGCACCCGAGGAACGACGGCGCTGAGGCGGAACAAACACCATGGAGTTTGGCTGCTGATTGCTGGGCTGCTGGCTTTTGGCTGACTGGAAAGCTTCCGGACGAAGAGGCCGGCTGCTGGGAACCCTCTCATCCAATTCCTCGATTTCAAACTCCTGCTGGCGCTGCAGCTGCTGAGCTGCTTTTTTAGCACGACGAGCCTGCCTTGCAGACCTTCGGGCAGAGGCTGCCCGTGCAAGCCAGCTGGTGCGGCCCACGAGGAGGCCCGGCCCACGTCGGCGTCGACCTCGACTGGAGGCTTCGCTTGTAATGCTGGCGGGGCTGATCAAATCTGGGCCTGGAGGGGCAGAGGACATGGCCAGGGAAAGAGGGCGGCCAGGGTGGACGGCGTGACGAATAATGGACACGGGCGTCCGAGGGCGGTGGGCTGGGATGGGCGGAACAGGTGGGACGGGGCGCTCCTGGGAGCTGGTACGTGAGGAAGTTCGGTCTGACGAAGAAGGTCTAGCACCGACGGGCACCGAAGGCAAACCGCCGACGAAGGGGTTGCCTCCCGTGAGTCGTCCCGGATAGAACTGCGACGAATTGACAACACTGGCAGCCTCGCCGAGCACCTGAAGGGCTTTGGGCGAGTGCGTTGTGGCGGGGGAGGAGAGAGGTCGCGGTCTGAACACAGGGGACTGAAGGCCTGAGGCTGGGATGGACCGGTGTCTTTGAAGGAGCGCCGGGGAGCTCGGCGCCGGAGGTTCATGGGACAGGTGGCGAGTCAGAGGTGCAGGCTCGTGGTGCAAATACTGGCGGCCTGGAGGCGTGGAGTCGCGGGAATTGCGATGCTCCATAGAACCTGACTCCTGTGACAGCTGCCGACCCATGGCTACTGCCTCGTGGGACATCTGACGTCCCATAGCTGCACTGTCATGGGAAATTTGCCGATTCATGACTACAGCCTCATATGACATTTGTCGGCCAATAACACTTGGCTCCTGATATATCTGTCGGCTCATTGTGCCCGACTCGTGCGACAACTGACGACTCATTGTCACTGACTCGTGAGAAAACTGACGGGCCGTTGCACCTGACTCATTAGAATACTGGCGCGCCATGGGTGACGTTTCGTGGGCGAGGTGCCGAGGTATAGCAGAGGGGCTCCCGTAACCGGGCGGGATCCCCAGACTGCGCGGCCCGCTCGGGTTGAGGTCATTCCTCGGCCGAGGACCCCCTTGGGCGCGAGCCATGCCATAGCCCTGGAGGCTCACCGGGCCGCTCGGATGGATGCTTTGTGTCCCTGAGTGCCGCATCAAGGACGGAGACTCGCACGAATGCACCGAGCGCTGGCGCACGAGGGCGGGAGAACCAGCACACACAATCTGGTTGTGGCACATGTAGTACTGGTGTTGCTTTTCCAGTTCAATAATTTCTTGCTGGCGTCGCAGTTCCTCCTGTTCCCTCTGTGCCTGAAGCTGCAGCTGTTGTTGTTGTTGCTGCTGCTGCTGGTTCTTCCTGCTAGGCGAACGAGAGAAAAAACTCCCCGAAAACATGGCCGACCACCGACTCTGAGGCTTCGGGCTTCCTTGGGCTTTCGTTTCCTGGGTGACTTTCGGCGACCCGGGCGGGCAGTGCATGGCACAGCGCCGGGTTTCTCTCTCGTGCCATGACGCCCGTAGCTGATGTGTGGGCGTCAACGGCCCAGCCAGTCGGTGGACATGGGTCTTGCCAGGAGTGGGAGGTGCTGACACCGGCTGACATGCCCGTGTCCTGCTGGGGGTATTGTGCAGGGATCGCGCGGGGGTGGTTGGGGGCTCGCGGGTCTTGGGCGCCACCCGCGGCGACCCCAGCAGGCTCTTGATCCGCAGCGGAGGCACCGG